AAAACTGAATTCATAGTATCGGCCCGCCAAATTCAAGCTTCGTAGAAATGGCATTTCGTATGCAGCAACCTAATAATTTCACGCTTTTCAAACGGTCTAACGCATGACCACGCTCGGTGTTCCTGTCACGTTCCACAGTTGTTCTCAGATGCGTCGTGAATGCGTTTTTGCCGCCACTGAATCGCCGTTGTAAATCAACCCGAGGTGTCTCTGCCGCTCCTCCTGTCGTTCTAGGTATACCATATACCCAGATAGAGACGGGACTCGCACAAGTATCTGTTTCTTGAAACGATACACACGAGTGTAATGTCATGCCACCACTCAAAAACCGCACTTTTACCGGCGCCATTTGTATCGATTCAATGGCCGCTGCTAACCGCTACGATTCTAACGCGAGTCCTTGTGATGAATATCGCGTCTCGTGCTAAAGATGACATGTCGTTCGAGCAGTTGACAAGTACAAACGCGGCTCATACGAACTTTTGTGCTGATATGAATGGATTTCTCAATCGTAATCTAGCAGCTTTCTGAGAAAGATAAGACGATAAGTAAATCTACCTAACCTAAAGTAGCTACGTTTCGATCGTTTCTAACAAGATCCTAAAGAACCTTTACAAAACAAATCAAAATTTTATAATAATTCAACCAGTTGAGTGGAAAATGTATGTAGTACACGTATGTATGTACGTATTTTACGTATGTGTATTTATTTCTAGAGAAAACTTTTCAAATAACGACGAGAAGAATTAATATCAAAATTAATGTAACACAATTGGAAGTGAAACTTGTATGAAAAAAATCAGAATGGAAGCAATGGAGAAAGCAAGCCTCTAACCACATCTGAACGATTTCTACAAAATTTCTGTAAGACTTTATGAATTTAAATTAGTCGTTTTGACTAGTAGATAGTTTCTAATGTAACCTTTCTGCATAGTTGAGATTATTTGCATTATTTGGGTAATCTTAAGAATGATTGAACAAAGGATTGAATATTGAATTAGCAAACAGAGTTAGGATATTGAGATGATTTCGTTAATCATTGTTGTTTAATTTAAGGAATTTTGCTTTTAGAATCTACAAACAATGCTTCATTGTTCATTGTTCTGACGCTTTATAAATTTCCGGTATGTGTATTATTTCTGTTGAAAATTGTGGATCTTTGAAGCCGAAATAATGTTATAGGAACACAAAATTTATACTGAGGATTAATATTAAAATAATGATATACTTATTTCATGGACGATTCCTTATATATTCATCGATACACACTTGCACGCGTCTCAGCACTTTCTTCCAGTTAACCGACTGAACTGTTTACATTCCTTTGTTTTCGAGACGCTGCGCACACACATACTTCCACACACTGATATTCACATACAAGTATCTCTACTATGCATTTAACCCAGCCCAGCACAGAAAATTATACATATCTCAACAATTTCTAAAGAATCATGTGTCTATCGTCCAAGAAACGTTCAGTGAAATGTCAACCTTCGACGCGTACGTACTACGAGTTTAACCTGCTGAATGATTGATTCCATTGCGCCAGGATCGATCAGAGTTTATGTGCGAAGGTCGCAATCTTGACAAATTGCCTGTCCTTGATACGAAGGTGGCTACTGAAGCGAACTTTCTTCCAGATTTTTACGATAAGCACTCGCCAAAATTTTTTTACGCATCACATAAAGCAGAGAAGATCCAGATTGACGTTGGTATCATTTGAAAATTCCCCTGTTACGTATCTCGATTGTTTCTTTCTATTGCAGCTAAGTGATTGCGGATTTTGTCACCAGGTGGTATTGCCAACCCAACATTTCAATATTCTCACGTATTTTTCCTTTTGTTTCTTTAAATATCTTTTCCAATTCAAGTTCTAGCCAATTTTAGTGTTTCCCATACACACTTACATTTTAATACTTTTATACAAACAGTTCAACATATTCCAAACTACTTCTCTTTCCAAATAAACCTATCTTCCACATTTTTCTCTATGGTGGATTGCAAATATTTTTCTGTAGAATTATTCTATTCCCTTAACTACCGATATTGTATTTTTTTTAAACATGTACATTCTATTGCGTTGGCAACTAAGTGATCGTGGATTTTGTCAACTTAACTCCAACCTAACCTCAACCTAACGCCACCTAATGACAAAATCCGCAATCACTTAGTTGCCAATCCAATATCAGAAGATGTAAATCCTATGTCTTCAAATCCTGCACGAATGTTTTACGTACTAAAATATTCAAGGAAAAGTGGATGAAGGCTGAGAATACGAAGTTGGATCAATTTGGTAGAAAGTCGTTCTCGTCCAGCCATTAACTCTTTTCGACAGCCTTTTCCATTTCCACCTACTTTCCCAGCTTGGATTTGGAATTCCTACAAGGGAGCGCTTCCACAGCTACTTCGCTATTCTGATTCCAATATTTTTCTCGAAAGCTTCCATCCATCTCATTATCTCTTGCTTTTCCTAACAAGAGTACAATTTTTTCTTAACCTGCAATGCACGTAACACAAAGCTCGGATCTTTAGATTTTAGTGTAACGAACAGCAATCGCCTTCCAGTTTATAATTTCGTATTTTTCTATGATTCTAAGCATTAACAAAAATAATTAAAAAAAAATTCATTATTTTTGGAATACGGAAGAAATTTCGAAATTTGCAGGAAATGGAAGTTGTTTGAAAAGTGTGGCGTGCATTTCGGCTAACAAAATGGCGACGCTATTTCTCGCGCTCATTTCACGTTGAACAGCGTGCGCGTTTAAAACGCAACACTTGACTCGCGCGTGCCGCACTCTCTTGTTGCACGCTGATAACGCCAGAAAGAACAACGACCGACACAAGTTTCCACTTATCTAATGTCGGCCAGCGAGATTAACGAGAATCGCGTACATCTGACACCACATAACACGAATTCCCCTTAAAAACCGAGTAAATAAAAATAAGATTTCTTTGAACTGAAATGAATCTGGATTAGATAACTGAAAAAAATCTGCAATCGCTTTTAACTTTGTTCAGATCATGTTGCTACTAGATCAGAATACTACGAATACGTGATTTGATAGGTTTTAAAAATACACCATTGAATTTGAAATAATTGTAAGAATTGAAAATAATTCTGCAAACAATATCCTGAATTAAGTTTAATTTAATTTTTTTCTGGCAGTGAGAAAATTTTGCCTATTATTGCTTGGCAACTAAGTGATTGCGGATTTTGTCATTAGGTGGTAATGACAAAATCCGCAATCACCTAGTTTCCAACCTAATAGTTCCAGAATCCCTCATTAGGTTAGGTTTTACAAACATAATTTAATTGCAAGCTAAATCAGTGTAGACTTGAATTTTTCTTTCAGTGACTGTGAAGTTTTGAGGCCTAAAACTCTATGGAAAAATCAATGCAATATACGTATTGGCATTTTACTATAACAGTAATAATTGAAGAAATAGAGCCAGGACAAAGACAAGTTGGTCATTGATTTAACATGTACAACGTCACACTCCTTTATTACACCGATCTCTACATTCTGCAAACTGTGTACAACACTCCGTATAGCAGAGAATAGCCTCGCCTTACGTATACAGAATAGTCAAACTAGTCAGTCCAAAGTCCTTTCTATCTACGTCAGTTAATTTATTGTTCGCCAGGATTAAGGTTTTCAGCGCTGAAAGGCCTGCAAACGCACCAGATTGCACTACAGCGATCTTGTTATCAGAGAGATCCAACCTTTTCAAGTTGGACAGTCCATTGAACACTCCGTAGTCAACTCGGGTCAGTTGGTTCTTCCTCAGGTCCAATTGTTCCAACTGACTGAGATCTGAGAATGCTCCTGACTCGATACTTGCTATCTGATTGTGATGCAGGTTCAAAATCCTTAAACCAATCAGTCCTTTGAAATCGTTCTTGGACACGCTGTTCAATTCATTCTCTTCGACAAAGAGACCGTCCAACTTGTGCAATCCTCGCAGCACTCCTGGCTGAATTGAGGTTAGTTTATTGTTCTCCAAGTGAAGACGGGTCAATTCTGGCATCTGACTGAACGCTCCAGTCTCTATGCTGGTGATTTTATTGTCGTTTAACCAGAGGAACGTCAGCGACGAAGATAATCCTGAGAACGAGTCCTTGTTCACCGATTCGATGTCGTTGTGTCCCAAGTACAGCCACATCAAGTTGGACAGATCAGCGAAAGTGTCTTTGGGTATCTCGCTGATCTTATTGAAGATCAGAGATAGCGAATGCAATTGCTTCAGTTCTGAGAACAGATTCGGTGACAGAGATATAACGTTGCTGTCTAGGTCCAGCCGTTCCAGTTTCTCCAATCCTTTGAACGACTTCTTTTTCACCGCGGAGATTTTGTTACCCAGACCGAAGCTCAGCTTCGTGGTCGTTAGATTCTTGAAGGTGTTTTCTCGAATAGCCAGCAGGTTCAAGTCGTGAATCTCTAACGTTTCCCCGAATTCTTGTTGGCTGACGTCCACCAGGGTTCCCTTTTTGTCGCACACCTTGTACCCTTTTATCTGCCTGCAGGTCTGTTGTTCCTGCGATCGACCGATCGTGGAAAATAGTAAAACGATCGATAGAACGGACAGATACGACTTCAGCATTTTCAGATCGAGTTTTCACGCACCAGGTTAAGTTATTAACGATCGGATCGTGACTGACCATCCGTTCTCAGCTCTCGTATACGTTGTTCGGTGCATAATGTTTGCAGAGCCTCGATTAGATAGAGGCCACGACCTCTGACACGATTATCTGACGAGAAGGGACACGCTTCTCGCGAAAATCTGACTTTCAACCTTATTTACGCATCCAATACCTTATCAACGTTACGATTTCGTCCCACTTCCGCGCATCTTGCCACCACGCATCGTTTCTTCCACGCTACGTTATCGCTTGTTTTCCAATGAAATTCTTTTCCACACTGCAGTTGACGAATTGTTGAGAATCGCGCGGAATATCGTGACCGTTTGATTTTTCTGCCATCTACGACTGCCTCAGAAGTTGTATGAGAATATGAACGGGGAGCGTACGGTTGAATAATCTGGATAGCAAGCGATAAGCACTGTTGCAGGCTGATTGTGTAGCAAGATACTGTAAATAGGTGTCAAGCGGTGGAAGACTGATTGCACGAGGGAAAATGGTGTAAATATTAGAAGACGAGGTGAAATCCTATATCATCCTCAGAAACAGAGATAAATCCTCTTGAATCCTTAACGGTCGACGATCAATTGCTGAATTGCAAGCGAATACAGATCAGATTCTAAAGATTAACTTCTTAGTAGTGAAAGTAACACCTAATTTGATGTAGTATCGTGGACAGATTGCCTAAGGAATATCTGCTGAACCATAAACAATGTTGCGAGAAAGTCTAAGTGCCGACAGTATAGACCTAACCTCAACCTAACCTCAACCTAACCCCAAAAGGGTCTGGAAACTTCAATGGGCCGAGTGGCCCATCAATGTGTCGTTGGTCCTTCAGTCGAATAGTTACGCGGTGGAAGGTCTACGTGACTGTTAGGTTGAAGACACGGGCAGTGGTGCAATTAAGAAAATCACTGGTCGTTCGAATGGTTTCGCGTAAATTGAAACGTTCCACGAGCAAGGTAAGTCAGAATTCAGACTTTAGATGTACTGACAGAATTTGTTACGTGAATCCAACAGAGTGTCTGGAGAGCTGATTTTGGAAAGGTTTATATACTATGGGTTTGGCTCTTATGGAGAGGGCGTTGCCGGGGCCCAAGGTCACAGGTGGTACTGTTTTCTCACACTGCAACAACCTCTACGTTGTTGTTTCGATGGCCAGCAAGATGTTCGTTAGATATTCTTGGTTTTTCTATTGCTAATTTATGGCTCTGTGACATGACTATGATCGCGGCGGTTACGGAACACGTATGTGGTGAGGCTGTGAGAAAAGACAAAGGGATGCTTGAGGGAGAAAGACGAATTACCAGGCAGTCGTTAACTAAGAGTGGAGTTGTGAGGAGTGGAGAGTGGACTTGCCAAGTTGTTATGAGTTGTAAACTACTAACTGTGAGTTGCGAATTATCCATTTAGTTATCTTAATTATACAGTACTACTGTATTCAGTTCATGTTAAATGACCATCGTTTCCTGTTTAATCCATTGTAAATAGATGCATCTATCAATAAACTTATGATTTAGGATATAAATCATTGGCAACCCTAATTTCTAATATTTCTGAATAAATAAATCCTATAGCGGTAACATGAAATTCTCTGCTCGTGCCATCGATCAGATCGCCATCGTAAAATTGAATATATCGTCTACCGTTACACGCCAGCTAATTCTTTAATGTTCTGATCATAATTCTTAAACCTCTGAATAATTTTTTAGCTTTACCCCACCTTCTGTAAGTGTCCCGTTTTTTACGAACAGTTAACGTGCGTAAGCAATTGATGATGACCTTATGTGCACGTGTCAGAAAATTCGATAAAGTGCAAGTATTCGGTGCATGGATTTCAGCGTACCCCAGTTGCGTGCAGGTGCACTGAAACAAGCCGGGGAGCTACGAGAGGAAAAAAGAGGAAAAGCCAGTTTCACGGGAAGTCGAGACACGACCGTGAACTTGCGTCGGTTTTTCCGACTACTGTCGACAAGAGGCCGGCCTTTTTTCCACGACCTACTTCCCCCTCCACAAGGCCATTCTTTAAAACGCGCCTTCTGCTTTTCCAGGCTAATTAAGCGATTCGAAACGGGTCTAATTATTCCAGCGACCGATCCGCGTGATCTCGAGCGTTCGGATTGTTGGACGAGGAGTGGCAAGGTGGCAGGAATAAATCGTTTTTCGAGGAGCGATGGGAAGATGGGGCGAAAGAGAGCGAAGGAGTAGGGATAGAGAGTGGTGGGGGAAACGAGGAGAATGGTACGGCAGGAAGGGGATGAGGCGCGCGCGGAACAACGTTGCTCGTTGGATGGAAACGAGGGTCGATACTTCTGGCCGAGAAATATCGTCGATAAATTTCCGCTTGTCGCCGATACGTAGATGCCTCGCTCGTGATATTTTGTTGCCGTGACGGTTTCTAATAAAGCCGCGGCACCGAACTTTCCTCTGGGGAAGAACCAGGCTATCGATCCTGCGACTCGCGGAACGATCTTCCAAGATACTAAGGCGCTGTTGCAATTCGGCACGAGAAAGTCCGAGTCTGACGAATTAAGACGAATGTCGCGGTGGCCATCGATGACTCATCGATCTTCGGTCGGTTAGCTGTTCGTGACGCGTCCAGCGTCCAGATTTGTTTGTATTTGCTGACAGAGAGGTCGGTGGAGAAGTAGAGTTTCTGATTGTTAGCTGATAACGAGTAGGATCATTCTATTTTGGAAAACCAGACGAGTTTTTTTTTATTATTTAATTCGTATCTTACAATTTGTCCAGTTGGACATTTGTTAAATTTTTCTAGCTTAATTGCTAAATAAAAAAAGTGGATGGCTAACCCCAGCGGGATACCATCTTCGAATTTGACTAGTTTATTTCTTTAGTGAGATTAGTGGGGTATTTACTTTTTAGTCTTCTTTCTATGAGAATTTAGCCGATATTTTCGCTGTTCGGTGGAAATGTCAGGTGAGTTTGTAAATTTGTGGGTGTTTTTAAAGTAACAGAAGAAAAAGACGAAATTTCATTCTTGAAGAAGCAAATTTTTACTTTTTCTCGGAGAATAAGAATTGCAGTATTTTGAAAGATTCTTTTCTCACTGAAGTATGTGCCATCTGATGGTAACTTTTTCTCAATATGATTTTGAGAAATAAAATAATCAAACAGGAAGATGGTATCCCACCAGGGGTAGAGCCATCTACTTTTTATCATTTAGCAATAAAGCTAGAAAAATGTAAAGTACAAATTAAATAATAATAATAATAATAAAAAAATATGATCTTGAACTTACGAATCACGTGTGTTTTAACAGAACAGTGGTAAAGCAGGAAATCGTAGACCGACTGGATAATTGCGAGAACTTTCTGCTTCAATTTCTTTTTCGTATTGGGTAATTGGCTGTCTCACGATGGACATTATTCTATCGCTTCTTTCTATTCAGTTTCATACCTCTGTTTTCTGCAGTTTGATTTATAATCAGAAAAGAGGAAATGAACGTTCTATTTCATTACAGAAAGTCCACAGTTGCGGTTAGCTTTTTATCTCGGTTCCTTTGGAAGATGGGAAAAGAACGATGACGAAAAAGAACGGTAGAGTCTGTTGACATATGTTACACGTCAGATTTCTGTCAGACCTGTAATTTTTCGCGATCGCGTTCCTTTGTGCCCGAACGATTAACCCATTTCCGCTGAAGATCGTTCTTTGTAAGAGGAGGTGTATGAGGGTAATCGTTCAACGTTTCTACATGACGTCACGGGAAACTTGGAAAATGTAGAAGAAAATCTACGGGAACGATGTTCTGAGAACTGCGAATTCCATAAAATTGTCTACGTCCTTTTACAAAATATTACATTTGACAATTATCATTCCGAACAAAGCTCGCACAATACTCAGTTCAGTCTGAATAAAACGAAACTTTTTCGATCTATTCCGAAAGATAACAAGAATTTCGTCGAACTGGAAAATTCCACGAATCTGTGAAAATGTGGTCGTAAGATTTACGAAAGCGATTAAAGTTGGTCAGTTTTATGAAACAGAATAGCTAAAAAAGGAAGAGGAAAAGGAATACATTTTTACAAGCTTTGCTTTTTCGTCAAATGTTACGTAAAATGTTAGCGGCACAGCCAATTACCTTTGAAATTCTAAATTCGCCACTTATCACGTCCGTGACACCTTTTTTGGCATCGAGTCGATCACCTGAACGATGGCAGCGGCGATTTTCAAGGCTGGCGCGCCTCCTATCGACAAACTTTCTACAAGGAATCGGTGAAAAGCCGAGAAGAACGATCCTCCTTCCTCTCGCCTGCGAGGTCGTTGAACGACGCGACGACGCGACACCAGCGCCCCATTCGCTCGCCTGCTGCACACAAACGCGCGAAAGAGGAAGTGGCACTATGAAACGTATTATGAGCCGCGTTTCACACCTGTTTTATATATAGAAATACGTGCAACTATTTCTGCTGCTAGCTGTCTTACGTAATAACATAGGCCGTGAATGTTAATGCAGCTGTGGGAAATTTAAAGGTACGTAATATGTAAAAATATATGAAACATCGAAAGCGTAGCGTTCGTTGCAAAATTTCATGCGCGAGACGAATTTATGCTTAGGTTCTACATTTTCACTTGCATTTAGAAAAATATGAATTTCCATAAACATTTGTTCTTCAAACATCGTTACACGTGGCAACGAGTATAAAACGTAATTTAAAGAATCACGATACGCTACGTCCTGCCACTAATATCATGTCGACAAATTTACTTCTGATTCCGTGGAAAGAATTCATTTTTCTTTTTAATTAACAAAACATTACAACCTTAAGCGAATAAAAAAGAAAAAAAATAGAGGAACAAAACGGTGATACGAATTCTGTGACAGCGATTGGGGCTAGGTTGAGGTTAGGTTAGGCATAAAGAATACGCGTGTATGGCTGGTCGGTGTGGAAGGTTTCGCGCGAATGTACAGTTCGTTCAATTTGACAAAACGTTCTGTTCTAAACTATTGTTGGTTGGCAACTAAGTAATTGCGGATTTTTCATTAGCTGGTATTATCGAAATCTGCAATTGCTTAGTTGCCAACCTAATATTTTAGAGTAACTAACGAACTTACACAGTGCAGAAACGAGACGCTGTGACCCGAACACGCGTAAGTCATAAAGGAACAATAAACTGTTTGTCAGGCGTGGAACACCTGACGCGTTTTGCAGGTAGATAACGAGGCAATCGCGCGGCCTTGCGTTGCAAACGATATTCGCAAGGCCACGCATGCTCATTATGTGCCCTTCGCGTACGAAAATCCACGAATCGAACACGGCAATATATCGGAGGTCGGACGAGCTTCCGCTTGTCCATGCGTCGTCGACTATCCGACGAATTTCAATGAATCGCGGACAGAACTGTAAAAAAAAACAATCATTTTCTCTGACAATACAACTCATTGATCCTTTTTTTCTTTTTCTTTTTCGCTAATGGAGATGTGTTTTTCTTTTCTTGTATCTTTTAGCCAAATTTGATTTATCTTTTATTTACGACTTTCGCAAATGATTTTCTGGCTAATTTATTTTACCAATTACTCACAGTAGCAACGTATTTGTATATGAAACAGGATACTGTACAGTTTAAATGTATTTATTGTTTGATTAATTAACAACTTGTTAAAGTACAACGTTCTGGAAGCTATATGCCATTGCTAAAAAATTTAACGACAGTCGTCTTAGTTGCAAGCCCCTCGATTTTCAAAAATGCATTTTGCACAGCAAAGAATATTTTTTTTCTTTACTGCGCATGCCTTTTTTCTCGCTTCCAGACCGCAGACATTTTGATTGAGGTTAGGTTGAGGTTAGGTTAATTCACAACTTCTCAAAGTGCAACGTTCTGGAAGCTATATGCCATTGCTAAAAAATTTAACAACAGTCGTCTTAGTTGCAAGCGCCTCGATTTTCAAAAATGCATTTTGCACAGCAAAGAATATTTTTTTTTCTTTACTGCGCATGCCTTTTTTCTCGCTTCCAGACCGCAGACATTTTAATTGTCCTGTTAGAAATAAGTATGCTTACATAATAGTCGGCAGTTGTATCGCTGATGATGGAAACAAATTGGCGGCGCAACAATTATACCGTGACAGACAATTATTGACTGTGGCATTCACTACATGCCTTCCATCGTTTTCTAAGCGTTTAATGTCGTGTTTCTATAAATCGTGTCTGGTTTCGGTGATTTTGTAATCATCTACGCGGAAACGTTCATCGCAATTGGTAACGAACGATATATCTCGAGTGTTTGGTTCGAAACGAGTGGCTCTTCTTCTCGCAGCACGACTTTCACTTTTTTTACTCGCTTTTCTTCGCTCTAGACTTGTCCTTCTACCACTTTCATATCTTACACGGTTAAAAACCTGGAAAGTTTAATCATTTCGATCTACGGAATTTTAGAAAGTTAGCTTCTTTTCGTTGCCTATGTCGATACGCAGATATTGTTCTTAAATGTTCGCTATGTGGAACATTGGCGGAAAATGGAGACGAGATCAAATACATTTTGAAATCTAACATTTGTATGGAAGCTTTTAAAAAGTATTGGTTTGGTAACTGATACCACCTAATGACAAAATCCGCAATCACTTATTTGCAGATCACCTAACCTCAACCTAACCTCAATACGAAGAAAGTAGCAGAAAGGAAGAAACTTAAAAACTTTGTCGATAACGAACCAGAATCTAACTTGTAGATGTTTAAAAGCTCTCAATTATGTGATATTTGCCACACGACTAATTATGTCTTAAATACATTCCAAAGTTGGTACTCTATCAACATCACTAAGCGAATAAAACTTCTAACCTCAAAAACTATCTACCAGCGTTTACCATACGATACATATCAGCTTTAATTTAATTAAAACACCTTCTCTTTCGCACAATTATATTATTAACTGTTTCATTGTTATTTCACTCTTCACTGTTTACACGTATTTCATTTCTTCTTTTTATTTCAGTTTTATTTATTTAAACATCCTGTGATTATTCCATTAAACATAAAAGCTCACTCAACTTGTCCATCATTTTCCACGATTAAACAGGATTATCATTTGATACCCGATCCACGATATTACACGTGTCCGTAGACAGAAATACCGTATGCACTTTGCGTACGAAGAAACCGCCGACGTTCCTCCACTTCCGGTTGCATTCATCCGCCTCGAGCACACGGTATACGGATCGTATAAAACGCATAAACAGAGGAACG